CCGAGCTGACATCCAAAAATCTCAGCATACTCAGGTGCTGATTCTGCAGCATCGCCGAAGCAAAAGAGTTCGATTTTATGAAAAATTATTTTGAGGCCAGAAAGTTCCTCAAAAGCACATAGGAGCAACTTGAGATTTCTAGCCTTGTCTAGATCATGATCCAAGAAAAGGATAGTGTCATACGTGTATTGTAGAATAGATAGACCATCTTCTACCAAGTGTGGGATGACACCATTGATTTGACCGTCCAGCTTAGCCCGCTCAACAAGGGTAGCTAGCATGTCGGCCACAATGTTAAAAAAAATAGGACAGGCAGGGTCCCCTTGGCGAAGCCCCTTCTTTGTCTGAAAATAGTTGCCAACGTCATCATTTACTTTTATGGCCACACTGCCTCCAGAAACAAAGCTCTCTACCCAACGACACCATTTTGGTGAAAAACCCCTTCATGCGCAAAGTTTGCAACAGAAAGGGCCACTTAACTTTATCGTAGGCTTTTTCAAATTCTATTTTAAGAATTACACCATTCAACTTTTTCCGGTTAAGCTCATGTATAGTTTCGTGCAGGGCGACCACTCCATCTAATATGTTGCGACCTTGCATAAATGCTGTTTGAGTGGGCTTTACGACATGGTCAGCCACCCCGTTCAACCGATTAGTTGTGACCTTCGTAAAGATTTTAAAACATACATTCAGAAGGCAAATCGGTTGATATTGTTGAATACGATTAGCTCCTCAATCTTGGACAATAGGATAATTTCCCCAAGGTTTAAACAAGAAATATCAAGGTCTTCAGTACGCAATTGGTTAAACAACGGAACCAAGTCTGCCTTAATCACGTCCCAAAAACATTGATAGAACTCTGCGGGAAAGCCATCCGGACCCGGAGCTTTGTTGTGTTCCATTTGAAACACCGCGGTTCGAATTTCCTCCTCTAAGAACGGGGAGGTTAGGAATTCATTTTCCGCTTCCGTAACTTGAGGGATGTCATGAGTAACAGATTCATCCAACTGAAAAGTTATTTCAGCTGAAGGTCCGAAAAGCTCCTTGTAATACTTAGTAATGAAAGTTCTAAGTGGTGCGTCCCCCTCAATTCGACCTTCCTCCTGGTCAAGGGCGAATATGCGTTTCTTTCTATGTCTGCCATTGGCAAGCATTTGAAAGTATTTCGTATTATCATCACCTTGCACAAGCGAATCCGCCTTGCAACGTTGGTACCATTTAATCTCTTCCTCGCGTAATAGGCGGGCAATCTTCTCATTTAGATTGCTTTTTTGCTCAATCTCAACGGCAGACAGAGGCCTGACCTCCGCTATTTTATCAAGGGAATCAATTAAGGTAGATAGTCGCAGTTTTTCTTTTTTGTAAATGCCAGCAGTATGCTTGGCCCATCCACGAAAGAATCGGCGCAATGCACGAATTGGATTTATCCATCGTTGGATGGGTGTGTTACCACGAGGATGACGTGCCCACACTTTCTTAACAAGGTCATGAAATCCCTCTCTAGTGAGCCATCCCAGTACAAATTTAAACCAGTGACGGTTAGAACTTGGGATTGGTTGTCCAAAATCGGTTAGCAAAGGAGCGTGATCCGATAATGCCTCAATACGTTCTAGAGCCCAAACCAATGCTAGGGGATATGTATATTCCCAGTCAGTGGTAACTAGCACTCGGTCAAGTTTTTCAAATGTTGGCACTGATCGGTTATTGGCCCAGGTATACTGACGACCAGACATCGTGATCTCCCTCAGGTCCAGGCTGTCAATAACAGCATTAAAGAGGAAAGGCCACCTAGTATCAAACCGGTCACTTTTCTCCTGCTGATATCGAAGGATATTAAAATCCCCCCCAATTAACATGGGGTGGGGATTGTCTCGACAGGTATTAACAAGTTCTTTTAGAAATGCAGACTTAAACTCCTCTTGAGCGGCGCCATATACAGCCACCAGACTCCAAAGGAAGTTGTCGGACTTGTTTCAAAGGTGGAATTTGATATGATAATCCCCCTTTGACATGGAAAATAGTTGCAAGTAAGTAGAATTAATACCTAGCAATATTCCACCGGACCTCCCGGTCGGCGGCAATACGTGCCATTCGTAATCCAAACCACTTGAAAAGTTGTCGAGAGTACTTGTTGGAAAATCACGTTTGCCCGACTCCGTGATAGCTACGAAGTCCAACGCATGATCCTTTACACAATCGGCAATGTGTTTGTGTTTAGCCAAGTCACCAAGACCTCTGCTATTCCAAAACATGCCTCTCATGTTGAACCAATTTTTTGTTTAGAGACCTTCGCCTTTTTTTTTAACTCCGCCTATGTCTTCTAGGCATAGCCGGTCCCAAGCCCGGGTAAAGGAGGAGGGTTGTGATAGGCTTGGCGAGCCAACGTAAAAACTAGCCAGTCCCATAGGTATGAAACCGATTTGAGCGAGAGTAGTACTAGGATGGGTGACCTCCTGGGAAGTCCTTGTGAAAGAGTTTCATATCTAAGGGTTGTGATAGGCTTGGCGAGCCAACGTAAAAACTAGCCAGTCTTTTGGGTATGAAACCCATTTGGGCGAGAGTAGTACTAGGATGGGTGACCTCCTGGGAAGTCCTCGTGAAAGGGTTTCATACCTAGCCTACCCCAACTTGTTTGGGATCAAAGGCTTCGTAAGTAAGTAAGACCTTCGCCTTTTTAGAAGAGTGCCCTCTTTTCTTTGCTGAGTTACACTTGTTCTTGCGCACTGATGCGACAAGCTCACAAAGCATAGTGTCGCGTACAGTATCATCAAGGTCTACTTCGTCTTTAATTAAATGAGAGAGAAGCTTGCTTTCGTGATTGGCATCAGCGTCCTCATCCTCCTCATTTGACACGATAGGGTCAACAAAACTCGACAATTTAGGAGCAACCGTAAGCCGACCGAACTCCACTTGTTTAAGAGCCTTAACCGAAAAATCTACCTCTTGCTCATTACGTCCTAGTGACACTCCAAGTCTAGTTATATTTGAAGAAACTTTGGATTTATCAAAAGATATAAAAGATTTGCCGGAAGGGGTACCTTCGAAGTCAAGGTTGCGAACAGCCGTCCTACGCATGGCCTTCACCATAGAGTCCTCATCGGTGGCTGCTGAACCGTCAGTCCCGATGTAATGATGCCCGATGCGCCTCAACGGCGAAGGAGAAATTAACATCGGACGTCGAGCCCATCCCGGCGCCTCCGAGAGGCGGAGTAGTCAGCTGCTGCGATGATGAAGACATCCCGGCGACCCCGAGAGGCGGAGTAGACTGCTGTGACGATGTTTGATTGCAATGGAAATAGCAAAAAGATTTGATTGCGATGCGATTTCATTGTTGTTGTTTATGGAAGTTTTTTGTGATGCGATATGTTTTGGATGGGAGCTTTTAAACCCACCCTTCGATATGATTTGATTGGCGTCTTATATGGAAGGGTGCAATGAAAAGATGGAAGGTTTGGTTTGTTATTTTTTGGCATGGGACGTATGGATCTAGTGATGAATTAAAACCGGTGTTGGTTTTTGAAGGGAGGGGGGGAAATCGGTGGGAGGGAGATCGCTTGGTGGGGCATATATGGATCGCTTGGGGTATACCAACGAAACCAACAAACGACGCACGGACTGAGACGAATATTCTGAATATTGTTTTATGCTGCAGGTTGATTGGAAATACTCAGAAAGAGAGTTATAAACACACGCACTTGGTTTTTTGTTTGCAACTCATATACTTGTTTATTCAGTTCCGAAATTATTTGGTTTGGTTGTGTGGCTATTGTTTAGCGAGTTATCTGACATTTGTAGTAATTATGTGATTATGAAACATTAGCATGTATATTACACATGACGTCTGTCCAAATATACGATACTTGGTGTTTGGTAGACCAAATAAAACTTTAGCTTACGGTGTGCCCATGCTTTGAAAATTCGCTAGCTCCACCACTGATTACTTTATGCCCATGGCAACTATTACCGTATATTCAGGGAAAACACTCATATGACCTTTTTATATGTTTTTCACTACTTACATTAAACTTCTTACAAAATATTGTCCTACTCACGTGGCATTCTAAACAGCTTTTGTAATAAAAAAACACAAGGTCACCCGCAAAAAAAAAAAACAAGGCAAATCTTTTCGAATTGAGGGATAATTAAGATGGCAGCTTTTAAATATTCAATGTACATATGGCATTTTAAAAAGAAAAATCGCATCATCATCCCAATTCTTATTGGCTTTCCTTCTTTTCAAAAGAAATGACAAGTCAGTCTTTAGCTCGGTGTCAATTGTAGATACCAGACCATGGCAAATCCAAAAAAATTAAAAATTGTGCTAGTGCAAATGTTTTGTACAGTTTTTCCCGTGTGACCTCTAAGTGTGTATGGTTAGTATGTCCTTTTTAGCATGGCAAATTAAGATTGCATGTGTGCTTTGTTTTCGTTCTCTCTGTCACTTTTGTTTGGCATTTTAAATCTTTCTGTTCCGTATGGTTAGTTCTTCGTTACTTGATGGCAAATTTAGTTTTTCATGGATGGCAAATTTAGTTTTTATGTGCCTTCTCTGGATTTTGCACTGTTTTGTCGAACTGGTATTGCTATGCATCATGCAAATGTATGCTCTCCTATCATGGCAAATTCGTTGTTGTAATAAACTACAGTACGATCGAGCAAATCTGCCGTCCTAAAATATTTATCTCCCTGTTGTAAGTAATAAGCTACAGTACGATTGAGCAAACCGCTACAAGCCGGGTGAGGTGAGCTGTGCGCAGACGTCTAACTAGGTAGCTCCGCCTCCGGCCTCTGCAACTGGTTTCCTAAGAGCTGCATGCATGCGGACAGCGACCCGTTCGTCGACATCGCGACCATATCCTTTCCTATGGCTGCATGCATGCGACTCAATCGTAGTACAGCTGCATCCACGACTCTGTGCGAAAGAGGGTCTGATATATACTTGGACATATATATCGCCAACCTCCTGCTCATCATCAATGGAGCTACCAACGCCAAGAACCATGTCATGGTTGCTGCTTCCCTGCCTAGTCGCCGCCGGCATATTGCAAGCTCCTGCGCAGCCAAACCCAGCAGGTATATATGCTGCTGGATGTATATTTATTTATATCTGCACTCTACAGTGTCCCCGATACATGCATGATTTGCACGTCAACTTTATTTGTTTTTTGGGTGAATTTCGGCTTTTACTCCCTACTTTGACATTTTTGACGCAAATTACCCAGCAAGTATATATGCTGGTGAAATGTTCGCTAAATGGGGTAGTCTAAATGAAAAGTTGTTAAATAGAGTAATTAGCATAAAAAATATCATAGTACAGGTGAAAACTTGAGATCGTTTTTTTTTACTGATACTGAAGCATCAAATACAAACACTATAATAAACACACACACCCGGACTCTACATAATTAGAATGCACATAGTCAATACCATGATTTCTACTGCATGCATGCAGGTTTCATAAGCATAGACTGCGGTCTCCCGGGAGAGACGGGCTACGTGGATAACATCACTACTCTATCCTACACCACGGACGCCAGCTTCATTGACGCCTACGCCGGCTCAAACCACAACATCTCAACTAAGTACATGACCTCGACACTACCCAACAACTGGTGGTACACCCTGCGCAGCTTCCCCAGTGGGGCGCGCAATTGCTACACTCTCGGATTGCTCATGCCTGGGCTAAAATACCTGATCCGCGCCAAGTTCTTGTACGGCAACTACGATGGCCTCGATAGGCTACCTATCTCCTTTGACCTCTACGTGGGTGTTGACTTTTGGATGAGGGTGAACATCCAAGTATCCGACACGTGGGTGTTGGCGGAGGCCATCGTGATGGTGTCGTGTGATTCCCTACAGGTTTGCCTTGTGAACACGGGTGGTGGGGTGCCATTCATCTCTGCGCTAGATCTGAGGCCGCTGAGGAACAAAATCTACCCACAAGCCAACATGACACATGGCCTGGTTCTGGTCGACAGGATCAACTTCGGACCAGACGATGGAAGTGCTACTATCAGGTGAGAGTGAAATCTTAATTACTCTATCACAAAATGCAATTGATCGATTGTTTCAATAGGTACCCTGATGATCCTTTCGACCGCATGTGGTTCCCTGCTTCTGGCGGTGCAACAGCTTACTGGGATGAGATATCAACGGAGATGAAGGTGGACATTGGTGACGACCAATTCCAGCCACCCCAGGCAGTGATGCAGACGGCCATCACGCCCAAGAACTTCTCCAGCAACATAGAGTTCACCATGGACCTCCAGAGTTCCCCTAGTGACCGGTCCCTGGGGTACATTGAAATGATGTACTTCTCTGAACTAAAATCTCTCCCCAATAATACACTACGACAATACACCATCTATCGGAATGGAGAAGAGACCACAACAGCCTACACTCCGCCGTACCTTGATGATGGTTACACCTACTCAACTGAGCCATTTCATGCCAGCCAGTACTTGTTGTCCATCAACGCCACGGCCAACTCAACGATGCCGCCCATCATAAACGCCCTCGAGCTATTCTCCATCATTCCAACCACCACCTACGGCACCAACTCACAGGACGGTGCGGTCCTACGCACATACATGAGCTATCTAGCTCACTGGTCATTATCCTCTATGCATGTTATGTTACTGAAAATTTATCTTTGGTTTTTATTTTAGCAGTGTCTGCCATCATGACCATCAAGGAGAGGTACCAGGTGCAGAAGAATTGGATGGGTGACCCATGCGTTCCCGATACTATGGTCTGGGATGGACTAACATGCATCTATGCCAGTTCCAAGCCCCCAATTATCTCAAACGTGTAAGTAATTTATATCTCTACTCTACTCAGTTATGTTGTGATGTTGTGTCATAAAACTGATTAGCTGCTTTGATGTTAATATATATGTAGAAATGTCTCCTTCAGTGGTCTGAATTATACTATATCACCTGAGTTTGCAAATCTCACGGATGTCCGATACTTGTACGTCATGTCTGATACTCGTACTTCTACCCATACTTGTACAATTCTTTTTGACAAAAGTGGTAGAAGGAAATATTCGGTCTATATGTTGCAGGGATCTGTCAAACAACAACTTGATAGGTTCAATTCCAGACACCCTTTCACGATTACCGTCATTAATATTTTTGTAAGATTCGCAACTATTGTGATCCAGTTGATTTGAATGTTCCCATACTGTTTCTTTTCACTCATGACAATATTATTATTTTTCTGTAGAGATCTCTCAAACAACAAGCTCAGTGGATCAATTCCCTTTGGACTTCTAAAAAAAGTTCAAGATGGCTCCTTGGATCTAAGGTGATTTCCCTCTGTTTTTTTTCCTGATAGCATCCAACCTGGTTCCCAGTAAGTTCGATTAAGTAACTTCATTTCATTTCATTGTAGGTATGGCAACAATCCTGACCTCTGTTCTAATGGGAATACATGCCGGCCTACTAAAGGAGATAACAAACTAGCTATCCACATAGTAGTTCCGGTAGTTGTTATTGTGGCATTAGTGTTAGTGGCAATACTATGCTTTTGGTTACAAAGAAAAAGAAAGCAAGGTGAGTCTTTGGAATGAGGA